TTCTCATATAAAAGCAAAGAGGAAAAACAAAAAGTAAGAACTTAAGCGTATTAAATTGGATTTGATGGAAAAGCTGCAACCAAACATGCGACAAATTCCACACACACACACATACATACATTCAAGCACAAAGGATAAGTAATATGTATATAACATATGTGAATGTGTGGGTGGAGGTGCAAATTTGCATTTGTATATATGCATTAAGTGATGGCTAAGTTTAAGGTAATTTATCTGTTATTCTAGAAATTTTGAGGAATAAATTAAAGGGACAAAATTAAGGTAAGACAAGATCACAAATTAGAAGTTGTAAACCTAAAAATTAAGTTAATTTGTGTAGATTCATTAGGATAGGACAAAAGAAAAAGATGTTCCAAAAGTGAATAACCAATACTTCTGCTATTAAATGAACAGAAAAATAATAAAATACAGAAATTTCCAGCAAATTTTAGTTAAATAATGAAACTTAAGTTATTTAGATTTATATTTTTATACTAAAACAAGCTAAATTAATACTTAAAAAAGAAGAGCACCTAAAATTCTTTATAAATATAAACTAAGTTTGAGTTTACAAATGATAATTTGAAACTTCCCTTTAAAAAAAACATCAACTAATTAGTCAAACACATCCTGATTGCCTTTCCCTTGACATCCTTAATGTTTTTTTAAAACCAAAAACAAAGGAAATTCAAGTTCCTCTCGATAAACATTTCCCCACAAACATAACGGTCGCCTCATCAATTTGGTGTTGACATTCGGCCGACCAGCAAATGGAAATGGAAATGCATTAAAAATTGATTTACGCCCGCTATTTACGCTCATAAATTTGTAGCTATTTAGCGGTTCTCCAAAACAACCAACAAATTGTCAACACACACACACAGTCGCATTCTCAAAAACAACCTAAAGGGAGCACAAACACACAAAAAAACTGAAATATTACACTCGAATATTAAAAAAAAAAGGTCAGGAGACGGGGGTGGTGGAGGAAAAGGAGGGCACATCCAAAAAAAAAAAGACAACCGCTTGAGGAGAGCAAATGAAGCGCAGCGGAAGCCACGCAAAACGCGAAGAGGAACATCAGGGAACAGAAAACAGAGAACATAAATGAAAACGAAAACAAAACGACAAAAACATAAAGCATAAAAATAGAATTGACAATGCGTTGACAGTTGGCTATGTGTTGGTGGAGCGGATGAGGGGAAGTGGGCAGCAGGATAGGTACTAGATGGTTAATGGTTAGTGGTTCAGGGGGAGAAAGGAAGAGACTAATTGCCAACAGGATTCTAGCCAAATTATTGACATTTTTCTGATACTAAACTTATAACTCAAGTTCTCTCGTCTCTTAACTAAAACTATTTACAAACTTTACTAAAGTCTTAAATAATAAACTAAAATTAAGGAAACCCCTCATTAAAAGGTTCTATGAATAGTATTCTTCTAATCCTTTTCAAAATTTCACTCTAATACGAAACTCCGAAGGACTTATCTAACATACATACTTCAACTGCGAAACTTGATTCATTTCCAAGCTGAAAAGTGGCATCATTAGGATCACATTTATGGGGATCGGAAGTGACAGAACCCACTCATTGCAGCGTCATATATGGCACATTAATTTTCCATGGAAATTGCTTTGAGTTAATGTCCTGGCAAAGGACAGAAGGTCATCTGTCAGATTGGCAAAAGGTCGCCAAAGGTCTCGATATTGATTTCACAGTTATTGCTGCTGACACTGCGCGGCTTTCGAATGAAAAGTGTAATATTTCAATTTTGAGTTTTAGCCACAAAAGGACAGGGAAGAGGGAGTTCCCAAAATGCGAACATGACACAATTTAAACTGCCTGATCCCTAACCCCTAACTCCTAACTCCTGACCCCTGGTCACTAGTCACTGGTTACTGGTCACTGGGTCCACCCCCTTTCATTAGACCTGACCACCGCAGGGCACCACCTCCATTGTCCTGCTTGTCCCGCTTCGGGTTTATTGTTATTGTTATTATTCGAAAGTGTTCCTCCTGCTGCAACTGCCAAGCGGAAGTATTCCGGCCCTTTGTCACTGCACTTCTACGGCCTTGGCGGGATCTATTCGGGGACCCAGAGCATAGCATAGCTCCGGGCACGCGCCAGGCGGGGACTAATGACGAGGCCCGAACTACGGAAGCCCGCTCAAGTGCTCCTTCAAAAGGGCACTGTCCGAAAAAAGGGTATACTTCATATTATTATAATCATTAGAATAGGTTTTCCTTTTGGCGTTACAATATTTTATAGCAAAAGACAAAAGATAAGATTAAGATGTATGATTTTTCCAAGGTTTTTAATAAGAAAGTAAAAGGCAATCTCTGCCCATATTAATGCAAAATTATTGTATTTAAAAATAATCAACTTATTTCTCCCAGTGTCCATCCATCGTCAGGATTCCATTCCCAACCCCCAAAAAGGAGTCAACTATCTGTCCATCTGTGGGTGGCTATACATACACATCAATATCTTTTTCCCGATGTCTGTGAGACTCATAAAGCCGGGGCTAAATGATGCAAGAGATGCCCCTTCGGTTGTTGCTGCTGCCGCTTGTGGCACATGACAGCCAGCCAAAAACCAATAAATGTTCTCAAATTTATTGCTTTTCATTCAAAAATTACTTTTGTTTGTTTCGGTTTTCACAATCAAATCACCCAGAGATCCATCCCGGCCATCCCCTGGAGGATATTTGCCGGACAGGACATCAGTTTTTATATCGCAAATTGTCAACAACAACAAAAGCAAATACTACAGGAAGGTATAGGATATAAAGTGGCATGTGGGGAGTATCAATCTTTGAGACTAGAATAATGGAAATTGAGTTCATTGATTTTGTAACTGAAAAATTGAGAGAAAACTCGGAAAAAGATGTTACTACTATTTCATTATTCCTTTTATAATAAAAACTCTCTTTACTTAGCATATTACTTTACCCCACCTCTTGACCTGTCACATCTTCATCACTATAATCCCTTTAAAGACGATTTATTCCAGCGACTAAACGAAAGGCATTTTATATTTTAGCCAATTAGAAAAAACGATCGCCACGATAGATCCAACAAGCCAACGTTTAACACTCCCCTGCTTCGATGAGCTCGCCAGGAACGAGGCCATAAAATGATTTCCAAATGAAAATTGGAGGCACTCAGCCCGCTACTGCAGATGCAGAGATGGAAATGGAGATCATCATCATTATCATGATCAAGATGATGGGGTTATATGGCTGCAGTTCCCCCACGCACGCGCCAATGCCGATGATTAATTGCCCCGAAAATGTTTGTTTTCATAAACAAATTTTTTAATAGGCCCTCGCATATGTTGGCTGTCGAGTTCAATTTCCAGTGAGGGAAAACCTGGGTCGTCGAGTGGGCGGGGTCAAAGAGTTAAATCGATTCGAGTGTTGTCGTTGTCGGATCTTAATGCAGATGACTTCGATGACTCCGGGCAGCAGCTATTTTCGTGTCCTCCGCCTCTGATCGATGCACTCGTGTTGGGAATGTAAAAAGAGTTGATAAATCAAAATGTTTCTTTCATTCGAACGCCCCCGTGGCCCCCTGACAAATGAGCTCTTGGTATTCCGGCTTATTGAAGGTGTTAATTGGCAGCAATTAGGATGGACCTATAGCGGTCGAAATTCATATTTCCCTAGTCTTATTTAAAAATAGAAAGACGAGCGGTTGAAAAAATAGAAAGAAAGAAAAACATTTTTCCCCTCTACAGAAATTTATGAAATTTTCTTGGCGGGCCGTGGAGTTTGTGGTATTTACTAACAGATTTTTTCAATTAAAAATAAAAAATGTTTTCAACAGGTGACAAAACAATTTTACGGCCCAGGGAAAACCACACGAATGCCATTAAATGGGATTAGCCATCGGGGAGATGATGATCAAAGGAGGGGCCCTCTCGTTGTTTTGAGTTAAAGGGACCATCAAATATTTTATGCATTTTAAATTGCTGCTAAAAAAGCAAGGTCTAACGTGCCTTCAGCTCTTGCCATTCCAGCCATAAATCTTAGGGCTCTGGAGACTCTGACTGTTCTGGATGCTGGATGGATGGACAGGTAGATGCCATTGGCTGGTCCAAGGACATGCCGACACTTTGGTCTCAAGTGCATTATGAATATGAAGCAATAATAAGTTTATGAACCTCATAACGATGCTATTTATGAGGTCATCTGCCATTGTCTGCCGCTTCTTTGTAGGTCAGCCTTTCTTGGCCTTTGTTTCACTGATCAGCAAAACACATAAATAATATGAGTATCGATAGGGAACTGGTTTGCCAGAGGCAGGCAGAGAGAGACACAGCTGTGCGGCATGCGGCGAGTACAGGTGGAAGTGGCTACAAAGACAGGAGGACAGGCTAGGTCTGCTATCTACCAACATTGGTTTTAGTTTGGTTAAATACTTTGCTTTTTACTTCATTTTACTTTTTAGCCAATATATTTTAAGAACACATACTAAATAAAGATTCTTTATACATTAACTAATATCCAACTGTCTTTTCTTTGTAGTAAATTACTTATTTAATCTTAGGGTTTATGGCCATAATTAATCTATATTACCCCACATTAACTTAAACATGCATTTATCTATCTAACAACATCTTGATCTTGCTGCCATAACTCAGCTAATCTCACTCTTAAGTGACTAATTCAATAAATTTAAATAGGCGTTTTCAAATGCCATTAATACGCTAACGGCTTATTGACTATAACTCGAGATGGTGATTAAAAACGTATATTATGACTTTGTGTTTGCACACAATTTGAATTTTGTTATAACTGAGATTATGTGGGAAACGGAAAGATTAGATAACTAATGCTAAGTAAGATCCCAAAGATTCGGGGAAGACTGGTTTTTGTTTGTTTTTTTTTAATAGAATTTAGCTTAGTCTTACAACATTTTAGATCAAGGAGCCAAAGACTAAAAGTCATTTCTACTTCATCTTTCTCCCCTTAGATTCAGTCATTTCTATTCCGGCTTTCGGTTAGGTAACAGATCGGTAGAACAACAACCGGACTAAATTTTTCCAAAAATCATTCGAAATTTTAAAGTTTTCTCAAAATGTCAGACGGCCCGGAATTCAAGTGGGAGTACAGTCATGGAGGTCAGGGCGGAGGACCTAACTTCTCTCAGGTGAGATTTTCTAACTACCTTTGGGCTCAATAGCTAAGGGCCATCATCAAATTTAGATGGGAAGGGGTGGAACCCCTCCTGGAGGCGGTGGTCGTCAGTGGTTACACTCCAACCAGGGAAACATGCAGAACTTTATGCCGGGATCTGGAAACCAGGGACCAGCATCACACCAACTGCACGCTTCGCCAGGAGATCCTTTCGCCTCCTACAACCAAAGCATGCTGAACATGTATACAAACTTCAAGCCCAGCTATGGACATTCTAAACTAGGGTAAATATAGCCAGGAATCATCTTTAACTATTCAAAAATCTGAATCTTGGATATTTCAGACCTGCCACGGTTCAGGGAGTGGGTCAAGAGCTCAGCCCCCAAATGGGTCGTGGAATGGGCAATGGAATGTCTGAATCCATGGGTTTCGATGAGGGCATGAGTTCAGGTATGGGCTCAGGAATGAACCAGGGAGATGAACGGCCTTGAAGGTGGAATGGGAATGAGTTCCATGCAAAGAGGTCAGAGATTGGCCGGTGGCTACTCTCATCGATCAAATGGTGAGGAACTGAACTTCAGAAAATTTGCAGAACTTAATGAAAACCTTTATTTGCAGGTCTGTACGATCCGAACCCTTCACAAAGGCACCGTGGAAGTTGGTTCTAAAAGTCCCCATCAGCCCAAAGATCGGTTTAGTTCCGGGGAACCGTGGTCATGATCTCATGTGGCAATCCATAAAATGTATCTATTAACCGAATAAATCGAAATCTTACGTTAATGAGCGTTTAGAATGGATAAATATTTGGCACATCTATCAATCTGCATGGCCGTTTAATCGTAATCGATATTCAAATCCAGCCGAGGGTCAAACGGAGTCATTAAGGCTGGGTGACCTTCTGCTGCTTTCCGGGTGCTGTGACCTCTGTCAGCAGGGATCTGTATGGAAATCGAAGGGAGGGTGGGCAGGAGTGTCGCAGAAGGGCATAAATTACAAATGCAATGTATTTGTATGTATAAATTATGATGATACTATTAGTTAGCATGTCATTTGGCAGCGGGTCTATAAATTACGGACAGACAACAACTGCAACCTCCTCCTGCTCCCTTTTTGGGACGTTGTGCATCCGTTTTTTCGGGAGTTTTTATTAATAAATTTACATTTTCTAGGCCCCAAATATGTTGCTTGTCCCCACTTGAGGAACTCCCCTACCAGTTCGGAGGAAGTGCCGCGCGTGTGTAATGATCTGTCGCCCTGGATCAGGGCACCGGATTAATGGTAAACCGAACGCATTTTTCATCGAACATTCCTCTGCATTTTTCCTCGCTTTTCCACTGTGCTTTTTTACAAGCGCATTTTGTTTTTGGGAGGAACTAATTTATTTGTGGGCAAAAGGCACACAGCCCAGAGAGGGAGGGAGTTCAGTAAACTATCTAGTTATGAGACCGTTCCGTGCTCTAGATAAAGTTGGTTCCGTTCCCCTCTGGAGAACCCTTTCGGACGGGGATCTCCCTGACTGGAATGCCAGTCACGTCTTGGACAGATAGGCCAAAAGAATAGAGTCACAATCACTCCGCTTTTTCCTGCCTTCATTTCTATTCAGTTTTTGTTTTTTTTTTTTTTTGGTTTTTTGTATATATAACATTAAGTTAGTCCGTGACTGGTTGGCGGGTGGCGAAGGGGTCACAAATAAATTAAAACAATTGAAATTTACATTAACATTTCTCGGGCCAGTTGGGTCTTGTCTTAACACCTCTTTTGTCAGCTGGGCTTGAAGGGGAAAACTGAAAAGTTTGGGTAGTTAAGACTTCGGATAAGCTAGGGATATAAAGTACACAATTTTTAAAAATTATTTCAAGTCATTTAAAACTTCATTTTTAACTCTTAAGGAATAATTCTTGAGATAATTCCAAAAAATATTATTTTACTTTCTATCTTAACTATAAGCTCACCTAATTTCGGGTAGGGTATCTATGAGTAGAGGATCTATTATTGCCGCTGCCCTTTCACGTCGGGTAGTTGAAATATCTTGGTGTTATTTTAATTCGTGTGCTCTTTTATTTGTGTTTTTTATTTTTGTTTTTCTCTAGCGTTGTTTTGGCCTCTCAGTTGGCTGTTTTTTAGTGCCTCGAATTTGTTTTCTATGCACTTATTTAATTGTGTTTTTATATTTATTATGTGCTTTCCTCAAGTCGCCTTTTAATGTGCCACATTTACGTAAAAATGTATTTTTAATTTATTTTCTAGACCGCTTTTGTCGCTTTATCGAGCTCATCGGGTTCAGGTTTAATTTCAGATTCAGATTCGGCTTGAGGTTTGGGTTTAGGTTTAGGTTGAAGTTAGGGTCCATAGGAAAAGGCAAGGCGATAAGCACGCACCATTTTCGTGGTTTTTGAATTCAAATTGAGTTTTTATTTTCGGGCTTTAGTTGCTGTAGTTGCTTTTATTGCCGCGGCTTTAGTGCCGTGTAATGAAGGGTTTATGGGGCACTATACAAAGTTAGTATTAAGTACGGATAAAAAGTATAGTATAGTATTGTGTTGGGCTCTTTTATGGAGGCCTTTGTCAAGGCAATAGTTTCTGTTAGATGGCTTTTAGGGTAATCAATCTTAGTTAGAAAACCTAATAGATATCATCGTAGATAAGGCGGGCTTCAAACTGAAGAAGAGGGAACACTAAAGTCGAGAGAGGCCTCTATCAGTTTTTTATTAACCATCTTAAAAAAGACTACCTTTCGCCTGAAAACTCAGTATTTTTGCCACAACAATCTAAAAATCAGGCATAAGGATTGTAAACTTGGATCATTATATGATATTTATAGCCAAAATACCACCATTGAAGACATCTGATATGCCACCGTTTTAGGTAAAAAATGACCAAACTAATAAGTCTAGCCAATAGCTGACACTCCTACACCATAAACTCTACCACAAGCGTATAAATTGCAAATTGCAGAGATTGAAATGATATACAGGCTGCAAATATCTGTTAGAAGTTAACTGGCTGATTCAGTAGCTCCGATTTCGCGTTGTTGGATGTTGGCAGAGTAAAAAAGGCGAAGTGGTGGTCGGCCATAAAATCAACACTTTGGTTAGCAAAACAAACCGTTTAATGCAAAACAAACAAGAGGCGACAGCAACTAGCCACACCTGGCCTGGCCAAATAAAAAACGAGATACATGGGCATAGTTTAGTAGTAGTAGTAGTAGTAGTGTGTGTGTTGATAAGGGCGTTTCCCAGAGCGAGTTCAAAAAAAATTTGCACAATTTGTTGGACATTTTTGTCGAAAAACCGCAAAAATCAATTGCCAGTTCAAGTGTCCCGGGGCAGTTGTTCCTTCTCTGTGTGTTAGGGTGTGTATAGGAGTGTGTGTGTGTGGTCTCAATTCAATTAATATGCAAAAATTTCCCAGTGACATTTCTATTGAGCGTAATTGAATCATAGCCGCCGTACTCCTACGTTTTCCCTACCTTTTCCCCCCTGGGAGCTATTTTTCATGTTTCGTTTGTAGGAGAGTGTAATTCCAGCTGCCATAGCTTTGTTTTTAGTCCAGCTAGTTGACAACTCTATTCGATGTCCACCCGCTGGGCAAGATGCATTTATCACGCGGCCACACTCCACCCCCGTCGGATCCCAAAAACCGAATCCTAACCCTAGCCCTAGATAGCAGCGGGTGGTGGCCAATGTCCGGCCTGGAAGCGATTAACCTTCCCGTGGAGTGGTGTCAGTTTAAAGTTGCCATTAACACGCCATTGTTTGGCCTTTATGGTCATTTCCCACCCCTATCATCTGATATATACTCCAGATACTATACTGTCCGGATCCCCGATCTAATTTCTTAGCAGTTGATTGATATGTCCAGCAGTCCATCGAAATTAGACACTATTTTCGGAAGGAAATGTGTGAAAATTGAGCTGTGATAGTTTTCGAATCTTCTGGGCTTTCAATTCCCTTCGATGATCGGTTTTAATTAAAAAATAGATTATAAATATCTCCCACAGGACTGAAAAACTTCTCTCAATTTGCCTAAAAAAAGGAAATACTGGTAAAAAGCCAGCTAACGTATAAAGAACTTCTTAATTTATATTTTTAACCGATTTCTGGTAAAACTAAGAAATCGATTTGATTAAAGAATATATACTATAACCTCTTACCAAATCAAATCCCTGAAGAATGAAAACCGGACATTCCTTGATGACCATAAAACGCATTTGAAGGGTCAAAAGTAATCAGGAAATTGTTGCCATTACAGGGAGCGTTTAAACGACAGCTGCCGGACGGAAAGTCATCGATTTTGTTTGTCTTTTCACTCGAATCGATCGGAAAAAAAGGGAGCAATTCCAACAATTGCACTAATTTCGAATTAAATTTTTAATCTCCAGCCAGCAACAAATCCACCCACATGCGTGGCTCCTTCCGGTTTCACCCCTAGTACGGGTCATCTATCCACTGACCGGCGGTCATCCAAGCGCCACACCCTCACCACCAACCCGAAAACAAAGACAAACGTCAAAATTAACGAAGGATTTGGCGATTTAACGCTCAAAAACCAAACACAAGATGAAAATGCGACTCGATCCGCAGAGTGAAATCAAAACTCGGACACAAAATTAAATTCCAAGTGAAGGGATGAGCTGGAGAAAGGCGAAAGGCGAGACCTAAGCCGATTTGGAACGCCCACAACAATTTGTAACGGCCGCCGGACAATGGTCCTGCCACGAGACGAGTGCGTGTGCCAGCCTGATGGTCATGATTTCTATATAACCGGGAATCGGGGACTCTATTGGCACCTATGTGGAGGGACAACAGCGGGCGGTCAGTGAGGGTTACGGTATGAGTAAGCACTGAGAGAAAAAATGGGATCCCAAACAGCTATTATCTCCTAGTTACAAGATAATCTTGTTAAAAATGCTTATTTTATAATCTTTTTTTGAATCTTAAAAGTATTTTAAGTATTACTACATTTTGAGTATGTAGCATATATACTTTTCTCCCAGTGTAGCCACGAGCCAAAATCGAATCTTTTAGGGACTTTTCGCTTTGTTTGCCACTTTTATTGGTGGCTGCTCTGACGCCCAGATAAATCCCGACTCAGACGTCGGCGTCCAGTCAGCCAGGTGTGTTCCCTGACCCTCAGCACCTACGCCCCTTTCAAGGGGAATGGGTAAGGGGCAGCCTGACCCTAACTGGACAACGCCCTTGATCATCTAGTCCCGTGCACAATTCCTTATTGTCTGGCCTTTGAGGGTAGCTCCATTGTAAAGTCCTTTAATTGCTTCTGATTGAGTTTTATTTTGGCTGCATCGATTTTTCATCGCCAGCAGTAAATGCAACCGAAACAGAAACAATCAGGGACAATGGCCAGGACTTTTGGTGTTGACGTGGCGATGACTCTATGGAATCTTGACCCATTCATAGAATAACCCCTATGTTGCCTTCTTTTGTTTATTGAGAAGATTGCAAGTTATAGACCAAATACAATATCTGTAAGATACATAGTTTCCCTTTCAGTAAAGTACAGCCATTTGATGATTATGAATAATAATCTTACATCTTTCT